AACAACATCAGCTTCAGCTAGACGAATTATTGAACATAAATCAGAAGATGATGAATATCAGGAGGATTCTGATTCTATATTTGTATCTCAAAGACATGTAAATAGGTACAAAAATCGACCAAAACTTAATATAAATCCTCCTGATGACAATTCTGAATAAAGTGTTGATGAGCCTTCTGAATCTTTTGAATATACCACTAAAGAAGACAATATTTCAGGTAGTAGTAGTAATAGAAATGAATCAGATAATGGAGAATCAGATGATGATGAAGATTACGAAACATTTGAGAATTATGCACCAACTGATTATGAGCCATTTCAGGACCTACCAGATCTAAGATCAACAATTAATAACTGAATTTTACGGATTTTGCTCTGGATTATGATATTTCAAACAAGATACAACATAACAGAGACAGCAACCGAGACTTTGATAAAATTTATGAAATTAGTCTTGACAGAAATCAGTGGAGATGATTTTAGAGACTTTCCAGATTCAATGTACTTAACAAGGAAAAAACTCAGTTTAAAAGATCATTTTCATAGCTTTATTCCTATCCAAAATATAATAAGCTGTATAAAAAACAGGAAGTGATAAATTTTAGACAAGAAGATTACCTTGCTATAATGAAGTGCCGACATGTAGAATTTCCTAATTCATCACTCCGTAAATCACGACTTTGCAATACAACTATATCTCGAACCATCGGTGTTTCGGCAAATCGAGTAGTAATTCAACCTATTTAATATTTCCATTTTCTGAAATCAGACAACAACTCGCTTTGATGTATCGTTGGCCTTATTTTAAAAGTTGTTTAAGACAATAGGCAAATCGTCGGTATTATGATAATATTAGGACTGATATATATAATGGTCAAGTATAGCAAATATTGAAAGAATCTTCTGAAGAAAATTTGCAAATTTTTTTAAAGATGAAGTGGCTGATTCTAACTTTAGATTAATGTTGAACTTGGATTAGTTCCAGCCTTATGAAGGCACTATATATAATATTAGTGTTATTTATGCTGCTATATGCAATTTGCCGTATGATATCTGATTCAAACATGAAAACCTACTGACTCTTGGCCTCTTACCTGGGCCAAGTGAAGTAAGTTTGCACAAAATAAATTATTATTTAGCACTGATCATTGATGAATTGAAATCTCTTTAAGATGGAATAATTATAGATAAAACATACGAATTTCAAAAAGGAAGGACCATTCGTGCAGCTCTAATTCTTGTTTCATATGATATACCAGCTGCTAAAAAAATATGTGGTCATATTTCAGCCTTAGTATCATGTCATAGGTGTGAGAAGAAAGCAAATTATGAAAATCGGCAGCATAATTTTGCCGGTATGGATGATTTTGATGATTGATTCTTCATGCGAGATCTAACTGAACATCGTCAGAATGCTTTAGAATGGAGTTATTGCAATTCTGATGTTTCACGAAAGTGATTTGTAAAACAAACTGATATAAGATGGTCTGAATTATTACGATTACCATATTTTGACCCTATTAGATTTATCACAATCGATCCAATGCATTGCTTATTTTTAGGAATTACACGATAGATAATAAAACGAATTTAGATCGATAGGGAAATTTTAACATCAAATGCTCAGAAAAAAATTCAAAAAAAATGAATGAGTTTCAGATTCCATCTGATTTGGGTCGAATTCTTGGTAAAATTCATGAAGGAGAAGGATTTTCTAATTTCACAGCTGATCAATGGTGAATATTTTTTACTGTTTATGCTACTGTATTGCTTTGGGAACATCTTCCAACTGTAGATAAAAAGATTCTTACACATTTTGTGAGAATTTGCTTAATTTTAGTTAGCCGAATTATAGAATCAAATCTTGTTTTAGAAGCTCATTGAAGATTAATTGAAATAGCAATACTGATAGAAGTTAATCATGGGCATAATAAAATTACGCTGAATATTCATTTATCTCTTCATTTATATGATTGCTCATTTGATTATGGGCCATTATATGTATTCTGGTGTTTTTCTTTCGAACGCATGAATGGAATATTAGGTAATTTATCATTATAAAAATTTTCTGATTGAATATATTTATTAATTTTTAAATTTATAATTCTTAGGCTCTTTACTGAATAGC